AACACCATCAGGATGGAACTTGGTCTGCTAAATGGCCGGTGGCCATACAGCACGCTATTTGTTCCTGTCATTAATCAAGGAGCCCCCAATAGCCGTAATCATTAGGATTGTACTACTTCGTCCTTGGTGTATGTGCTAACCCAATAGATTGCTTTCCGGCTCCACACATAAAGCAGGCTCGTCTCATCCTCTCGTCGTATGAAGCTTCCATTCAATTCGTAGTCGTGGACCCTTTGATGGCGATGACTGTAGTACCATTTGTGTGGAAAGCCTGCTCACCAGACGGAACTGTATTAAGTCATTACACCAATTCCTCACTGTAAAGAAATCAATTCCGTAAATAAATATCATCATCCTTTCTGTTTTTTGTTGCGGGTCCTCCGAGGTCTATGCTCGGTGTAATGGAAAAGTCAGCTGTATTATGTTACGTTCCATGGGGAAAACCCGCTATCACACTTCATGATGGCCAATATACATATTTATACAGTGAGGGCTCTCCGCATCGTTACATATCACACTTATGACCGTTGCTCCTCCAACACCACTGACAGTTTCTAATAGATTCAAATCTCCACTGACCATCTTCAGACGTTATTTCTATTATGGGATATCAAAATATTCTATACTCTCCTGCTCCAATCAATATCGCGGTATCCGTGAGGAAACATCGTGTATAATGAGGGACATGGACAGTACAAAGATCAACTACATTGGCATTCCCTGAGATGTAGAAAACCTAGTATCCCCCGTCGGTACTTTGTGAAGAATGTGTTAACCATATACTTTCACATTGTTTCTTTACCATAACAGTCTCTCAAGGATTAAATATCACATGTTGCGTGAGAGTTGGTATAACCTCGTGAGATCTCGTAAAATTGGTTGTGTCCCTTGTTGATTGGTCAGTGATAAACTCAATTATAGCGTATTACCTCATTGTCACAACTGAGAAGTAAATCAACTTACAGGGAAATTTGATGTATCCAAATGTTATCTATATATATGATGACAACTTCGGTTACTTCTAATGTTTCTATATGCGTTTGTAATAATTTCAGGGAATGATGATTCATTTAAGTGTTTTTAAGTAATAAAGCCTACTGAACTTTTATGATAATAATGATGCAAATAAACTTAATATATGGTTTATGAAATGATTCCATTAGCCTCTTCACGTACCAAACTAATCCTATAGAGTTCAGTAATAAGTTGAACTGTTCAAGAATACATACAATATTTAGTATGTATAAAAGCTTATTAAAATAAATGAAGGTCAAAACTAAAATGTAGATTTAGAAATGTGGATTTGTATACGCCTCTGAACAAGAGGCCATATTATACACTATAAGGTTTGTTCTCCTTTCTCCCACTTTTTTCTGATCAAAGGAATTATATAAACACTTGACAACAATAGAGTTGTCATTATAGTCTGTTCTGGTATAGTACAGGTAGATTATTTACCTGTATTTACCTGTTCACCAATAGGAAATGCTGTGTTAGTTATAGGAATATTTAACAAATATATTTCCTGATTTTTCGTCATATTTACTAGAATTATGAATCAATATATACAATATTCCAGTTATTTACTTGATAAAAACACATCAAAATACATTAACTGAAAATCTGCTTTTATTAATTTCATATTAAATCAATTTTATAAATTTTTATTATACATGTTATATATAGATTTCATAAAATAGAACTAAATTTAGCTAGCAATGTATGACAAATATAATCAGTAAAGACAGAGATCATGTATTATATTATTAAATATGCAAAAACAGATGCAAAGCTGGGAATGAAAATGAATAAAACGAATCAATTACATGTACACATGGAATACTTAGCACCGGTTGATCAAATCAATCATATTCATAAAATACACACATGCACAAAGATACATGATATAAAACTAATATAATAGCACTAACTTACTAAAGGTGAAATATTGGAAAGTCAATAAAAATCACAGATAAGTCCATGATTTTAAGAAATCCTAGCAAAGCACCAAATAAAAATTCCATAACAAGCACATTTATCACAATGTCACTCTAAATGCAAAAGATTGGTTGTATATATTTGTGGATTTCACGTTACTGTTTTGTATTATCTAGCTGATGAAAATGGTATATGATATGAAAAAAATGTCTAAAAATGATCAAAATAGACTATATCAAAGCTACATGTATATGTATATGACATTTCTGCATACATGCTACAGATAATGTGGGAGAACACAGGTAAAAACCAGGTAAAATACATATGAAACAGACTATAACTGCTATCACAACATTACTGCCTCTATGGTTTTTTTAAAAAGTGGGAGAAAGGAGAACACACCCACTATAAGAACCCCAGAAAGTGTATATGAGACTATTGTTACGGTAGAGAACCCCAGAAACTGTTACCTGTATACGAGACTATGGTTACGGTAGGGTTTATTGAGGTTGTGTTTGACTTGAGGTCTACTATACTTACTGCCCTATATAGAAGACTTAAATGCATAGTGTTAGATGTAATCCTCCCCCACCCCTCTATACGATCCAAATATCTGTTTAAATTATGAGGATCCTATGCCAGGATGGGCTTATTACTGAACATGAAGGAGTACCTATAGATCCGTCACGTACTCTTTCAGACACAGAATAAGAATTAAATTGATATCAAATTGATTCAATCAAAAACCGTAATCAGAATTTCAAACCAAAACTGATTAACTTTAGGAACCTATTTTTAAACGTACTGAACTTGATTTGTTTATACTATTTGGCGTGTCTGATAACTGTATGTTATTGAATAACTGGTAATGTGGTAAAACGCCTCCAGTTTGATGTTCTCTGATTTAATATAAAGTGATACATTTGATAATGTTTCCAATGTAATCAACAACAAGCACCTAAACGCTGAATTCATCAGGAACGGTGTGTTTATTTAATGATATTCCAAAACGGAGCTATCACGGCTATATACTGGAATCCCCCTCATCCCCACAAGTAATGTGGAATGTCTAACATCTCTATTGCTTCATTTGCCTTCCGTGTGTCTAACACACACCTTCCTACAGTCCATAGAAGTTAAAACCCTGGCCGAGTCTTGTGAAGGCTTAATTTAAAGCATGTTTCACATTAATTTGTGGGAGTTGTGTACAGCACAAAGGGCATTGCCGACATCTCAATCTTATTTTCAAATGAAAAACATCATTTGTAAAATTATTTTAACGTCGTAGGAATATTCTGTATCATATTTAAATCTTGTTCAAATCTTTCTCTTATCATCCCTCACAGATGTCTGTCTGAGGGAAACGTGTACCAGTTAGGTACAGCTAAGGTACAGCTACCGTTATACTTAGTACAACTGTCCTAACTTAACGCTAGTGTAGGCGTTCTCCGCCAGAATGGTAACATGTGGTAGTATTCCTCATGGACGTTTGTGTTATCTTTTCTACACACCTTTAATATCAAAACGGAACTGTACCTCATAAAGAAGCGATTACATAACGACAGAATTCGTATTTTATGTTAAAATATTTGTTAATGTCTAGTGAAATGGAATTCAAATTTTGGATTTAAAAATAAATTGGTTTTGGTAACTCTGTAAATCATTGTAATATGATAAACATAATCATACACTTTAAATATGATAAACCTAACTTACACTTCCATACTTCTGATAAACCTAACTTACACTTCCATACATCTGATAAAGCTAACCTATACTTGTATATATATGATAAACCAAAGTGTTATAGTAGTATTTATTATACCTCTACTTATTTTACACTATACAAAAGTAACCACATACACAAGCTATTTCCCCTCTACCTGCATGCCAGGGAAATAGTTCATCTGGAGGGGTGCGATAGTTTTGAAACTATTTCCCTCGGAAAATGCGGGAAATTGAGTGACGTCGTGGGCGGGGCCTGACCGAATATTGACCAATCAGCGCAATAGAATTACGTCGGCAATTTCCGGCCAGCCGGTACTATCTGGACCGACCTTCACCTCGCATTGTTGTTGACAGACTCTCCCAACTGTTGAAAATGTGTTGTCTAATAATATTTAGAATATTGTAAGGGAGTGTTTGTATCGGTATAATAAAACAGTTGAAGTATGGGTATTTCGGGATATAGCAAGTTTATGATCCCCCTCGTCCAGGACTATTTCCCTCGGCTTCGCCTCGGGAAATAGTTCTGGCCTCGGGGGATCATAAACTTACTATATCCCTCATACCCATACTTTAACTGTTAAATATCTGATAAACCAAAGTTATAGTTATATATATCTGATAAACCAAATTTATAGTTGTATACATTTGATAAACCAAATTTATAGTTGAATACATATGATAAACCAAAGTTATAGTTGTATACATATGATGAACCAAAGTTATAGTTGTATACATATGATGAACCAAAGTTATCGTTGTATACATTTGATAAACCAAAGTTATAGTTATATATATCTGATAAACCAAAGTTATAGTTGTATACATATGATGAACCAAAGTTATAGTTGTATACGTCTGATAAACCAAAATTATACTTGCATATATCTGAAAAACCAAAGTTGCATACATCATATCATCTTAATTTTATCTGATAAACCACACTTATAATCATAATTACACTTGTATACATCCGCTATGACATTTATCAAACTGTCAAATAATGGCTCACGATATGTATGAATGGTTTGTGTTTTAGACAAACATGTGTGATAAGTGGTAGCTATGTAACGGGAGACCGTTATAACACATTACCGTCCACACCAAACGGTACAGCTGGTCTGTTCAATTAGTGCTGACTTATTACACTCCCTTAACTACCTTCTGGCATTCCAATCACATTTAAGTATTTTAGAAGTGAGATTATATCACATGATATTTCAGGAAACCTATCAGTACACACCAGGCTACAACTTACACAATTTTTGTTATCTTATTACACATGTAATTGAAAGTTGACAGAACTAATCTGATTTTGGAATTTGATTTTTTTTTAGAACGGAGTTCGTCAATTTCCCGAGCAGAGATCCGACATACAGAACGGAATATGTGTGTTGTCCTAATGACGCTGAGTGTAAACATGGTAAGTAGACATCATTACAACAGCTTATATGGTTTCTGTGTAATGAAGAGCTCTCAGTACTTACAACAGAAGCTTCCTATCAGTTGTATCGATACAACAGAACTAATCAATCTGATTAAAATCATCTGTTACATGGCTACGCCTGAACATCTGAATGTGCCGCGGTCAGGGTCACGTTCAAGTGAACCAGGGTCACGTTCGATGAACCAATCAGAGGCGCGCTGGTAAACTTTTGCCAGCGAATCGGAATATCATGGTTGATAGATAAATAGCGAGGGGTATCGAACAGATTCGTTTTCCAAAACAAATATGGCGGCGAGAACTGACGTTTCTACGACGCCAAGGAAAACGTACCCATGGGGTAATAATTGCGTAGGCAACACCGCCATACAGTCTTTCTTCTCTAATAAAGCTTCGAATATCTTTTTCTGTTCGGATTTCAGACGATCAATCTCAAATAACTTCAGAACTTTCGCATCATTCTCATCAATGTCCGCCTTATTTGTTATAATTCCGAGCGCCCTTTTGAGAAGAGGGTCTCTGATTGGTCAAAATTTAATGAGTATTTATAAATATAAAGGTCACCTGAACGTGACCCTGACCGCGGCACACTCAGATGTTCAGGCGTAGTGCGAAGTTAACGAAGCCATGTAACATATGGTTTTAATCAGATTGCAGAACTAATGGTCAAACCTTCATTTAAACATTGATAAATGATAAAACTTTAATACAATGAACTACTTGTTAGCCTCTGTATCAATCTTTTTTCTTTAATGAGCTCTATAATAAACCCCAATTGGGCCTCTTTTATGGATAAATAGTCCCAGACGGTCATCTGTTAGAAATTCTCATTAGTCTTAAAAAGATAGAAAGATGAGCTTAATCATATTTTTTTTACCTCTATGATATCTAAACTGTAAAGAAATAAAATGATCGTGGAAATGAAAGTCCCTCCCTTTTCCCAAAATCCTGAAATTTTGTTGTTAACTGTTAATAATGTGAGTGACATCCTGGCATTTGTTGCTGCCAATATACCTGTTGTTTTGGTTATACAATAAGTAAGACATTCCGATATAATGCCGCCAATATCACCCGCTATTTAGGTAATTAAGATGAGTTAGCAAATGTATTTTTTTTTGTCGGTGATCAATAAGATTTTCTTTATAAGCCAGATACATAATATACCCGATTTAAAATTGTATAGCCAGTTTGATAGAACAGCCAAATGTCTAGTGTCAGGTATTCCGTCGGATTTACACCTCATCATAGGCAATATCGCCACACAGTCATGTCCGTCTATTTATAAACCTCATATTTTACGAGGTAGGATTTGAATAATCCACATATCACTAGATATTACCTTTTTCCAGACTGCATTTGATTTTATGCCAAAAATCGAAAATAAAAATTCTACCGAATTTCTCTGTGTTACGGATCACCAATAGGGTATAAAAAACTTTCCGATCAAAACACTAAAAATAAATATTCAACAAGTAATTGAAACGCTGCAGTTCTGGAACACTTTACATTGCTAAAAAGGATACCAAGGTCATTAAATATGTTGCTAGAACAATATTAAAGGGGATGTTCTCATATCTAATAATAATTAACAAATATAGCATCACAACCCCCCATATACACACTGTCTCCACGTCACAACCCCCATATACAAACAGTCTCCACGTCACAACCCCCCATATACAAACTGTCTCCACGTCACAACCCCCCATATACACACTGTCTCCACGTCACAACCCCCCATATACAAACAGTCTCCACGTCACAACCCCCCATATACACACTGTCTCCACGTCACAACCCCCCATATACACACTGTCTCCACGTCACAACCCCCATATACACACTGTCTCCACGTCACAACCCCCCATACACAAACTGTCTCCACGTCGAGTCACCCCAAGTCTGCGCTCAGATACACTGTGACAATGGATCACCAATTAGCTAGATTAACTCCCTAAAACAAATTGGTCCCGGCTGCTGGCCAGTATTCATTTCCTGACCATACTATATCTGTCAATATCAAATTCAATATCACTCGTGTAATCATCGTTTTTCTCCTCCGCATCCATCATTATTCGGCGCAGTGATTGGGTAAACTTTATAGATGAAACGATTCATTTCTAAATCGCGAATAAAATGATAGATTGTTCAGCGATCAGGTATATGTTGTTAATCATGATGATAAGGCTCCAGGTAAAATTTCAGGATTCCCCGGACACAGCGCCGTTAATGAGTGAAATGGATCTGTGTAATTGAGTATTAAATAAGGAATACATGGCGGTGCGGCACTGCCTTTGGACTCATTCGTTTTTGTCCTGGCGATGACAGCCTTGTCACAAACACTTCCCTTGATCACATTTAAATGACAAGATAATTATTTCCTGAGTACATTGTCAGAGAAGATAATACCATAGATATCATTCTGATATATTCATCAATAAAGTAATTAATTTAACAAATCATGATATCCTTTCCCTGTGGATGTTATTTTGTCGGGAATATTTTCTATTTCTTTTTTTAAATTATATGATTAGATTCTTTCCCTCAGGACAGTCTATTCAATTTTCTGTTCTATTTTTTTTTTTAACTTTATGACGCTATTTTCATTAGGTCAACAGCACCAATATTTATCTCCGATCTTAAGAGAGCTCCATTGATTTTGGATATCTCGTCACAATAATCAATAGAAATGGTTACATTACAAAGGAGTGCATACTTCAAAGCGCTGACAAGATTTCATCAGTACTTTAATTTTAGTTTAACAAAATAAAGCTGTTCCATATTTCTCACCGAGATAATTGTTTCCCATTAAAACTTTATTACAGAAGATATATATTTTCAATCATGTAAGAATGCATTATCAGTTTTTGATGTAAATTGTAAATCTTTCAGATTAGTAATTAAATGCTCAGTAATATAATAAAAAGGGAATAATTGTTCTTTGATGTTGTTTTTAAGACTTTCCTGGCAACTTCATTATAGAAAACTGACGGCCTATTAAAGTTAACATCATACTACATTAATATTTTGACCACTTAAACTCTTGCTAAGATTAATAGTCAGTGGTAATGTTCCGAATATGTGCTTTAACGTGTTTTATATCTCGTTATAGCTGCTGCCAGAAACAACGGCCTGAATGAGTCAGACGAGCGATTCCTCGCCATCACGTTCGGCTCAGCCACTGCAGTTCTCATTATCATCGGTCTTGTTTTTATCATCAGCTTCTGTCATAAACGGAGAAACAGGTACCGTACCATCACACATACGAAACTTTCTTAAATGCACAGAACAATATATTATATGTAAGATATTTTTTTTATAAAGTGCATAGCGGTCATAAATTTATTTTAATAATATTTTCATGAACCAATCACTTTTTCTTTTCATAATTTTATTTCATATTTAAGAGAATTACAAACTAGCAGTAATTAAATTGTTGATAAAAAATGATTATTTTAAGAAATCTTCAGTGAAGCAGGTAGTTCTGTCTAATAGACCACTCCCTTTGTGACGTTCACCTTACTTTGTGGTGGTGCACTCCTTTTCTGATCGACCTTTTCCTTTCTGACAGACAATTCAAACTTTTAAAAATATCAACATTCTGACCAAACAGTAATTTTTAAAAATATATTGGTATAATGTTTGAATACGCTTAACATGCATTTTGTAATAAAAAGTTGAGGGTGACCGAACTTTCTGGACATTTTCTGATATTTGTTGGTCTCCGGACTGTTCTGACTTGAGGCTTTATATATTAGGTCCAACTTGTTTTCCTGGCCCCGGTCTCATAATTGTTTGTGACATCTGTTCCCGACTTCACACATTCTATACTGAACCATGGTTGTATGGCAGGATGATTATTTCCTTGTATGTTTCTGACATTTGAGGGTCATGGCGGAGAACATACCATTAAGTACCATCGGGGCTCATTTCTCCTTACTTTTAATGGCATGTTGTTCCGGATAGAAGCGGAGTGTTGACAATAGCATTGCAAACAATTATCTTTAAAGTAGTGCAAGGACTCTCACTAACAGTTACAGTTATAAAAGATATTGCTATTCTAGTGATGAAACTTATTATTTTGACTGTGATAGACCTATGGTAGGTTATAAGCCAAGCCCTTGTTAATCTGGTAATCAGTCAGTACAGATGACAATGGAATCTGAAATCTGGTAATATATCTTTTCTGCATAACAGATGAATGTTCGATCCCTTTTAGACTAGGTCTGAGGGTTAACCATAGGTACGATAAACACTTTGAACGTTGGTGACCCATTTACAAAGGACTACACACTCTCCCGATTATTGACATGCTGTTACGCCTATAAAGCAGTTCCAGCTCCTTTCCTTAAGACAGGGTCTAATGGTTTATTAATATTAACCACGTTAATACACGAGTCTCTTCTAAAAGGACAATAATAACATTACAATTAGCTTAGTGAACGTTTGTAACCCCTTTTTCCAGGACAATGCCCTCCCAGCGAGTTACAGGTACAAGATGTCCAGCGAGTGTTAACGGTCCCCTTTCTAAGGACAACAAAATACAATGAGTAGCATTAATCTTCCTGTAACTTCATTATTTCACACCAGAGACACAAACTGAGAGCGATACAAAGCATTTCTGTAAATAAAACACTGTATGTCAATCAGTGCATGTCATACATTCTTTAGAATTATTCTTCATTACCCTAGCTACCTCCTCCGTTGTTCGGACAAATAACATTACACATACCAACAAGATCACTTTATCACTCATTCACACATAGCAAACACCATTCTAAATCACAATACCCCCACAAAGACTGCCGGGTCAAATTACACTTTTGCTTTTAAAGATACAAAAAAAGTGTTATAATGATTTTTGTAATCGCACTTCATTATGAAATGAGAAGGTATAATAAAAATGTTGAAATCCTTTTATGAAAATGGACAAATCGTGCAATAATGGGAAAAGTCTTTGTTGGAGATTGTCAATACAGGATGAGAAATCCATTAGTGTCTCCAGCGTACACGACAAGCATGTATAAAGCCCGTCAATCACTGGACCGACCAGGTCACTAGCTTATCTCCGTGACGAGGAGGAAAGCCGGTTATTCCTCTCTAAGGATAACCCCCGGGATTATTCACATGCTTTCAAAGATGTCATCTTCCCCGTGGTCATGTTCACAAGTACAAAATGCAGTTTCTGAACAGTGTTTTAGAGCTATGTCATCTTTATCCTAGCTTCAGACGTAAATTTATAGATTTTCAATAAAACAGTTTCTGCCTGTCTAGCTGAAGATGGGTATTTAAATATGTTCTATTCTGTTGGAATCAATATAGGACAGTGAAAGTCTGGTAACTGACAATACATTGTAGTAATACTTATCTGACATCATGATTACCTGACATGTATGTTAGTCTAGTTATGATTACCTGACATTTATGTTAGTCTAGTTATGATTACCTGACATGTACGTTAGTCTAGTTATGATTACCTGACATGTATGTTAGCCTAGTTATGATTACCTGACATGTATGTTAGTCTAGTTATGACTGCATCACATGTATGTTAGTCTAGTTATGATTACCTGACATTTATGTTAGTCTAGTTATGATTACCTGACATGTACGTTAGTCTAGTTATGATTACCTGACATGTATGTTAGGCTAGTTATGATTACCTGACATGTATGTTAGTCTAGTTATGATTGCATCACATGTATGTTAGTCTAGTTATGATTACCTGACATTTATGTTAGTCTAGTTATGATTACCTGACATGTAAGTTAGTCTAGTTATGATTACCTGACATGTATGTTAGTCTAGTAATCATTACCTGACATGTATGTTAGTCTAGTTATGATTGCATCACATGTATGTTAGTCTAGTTATGATTACCTGACATTTATGTTAGTCTAGTTATGATTACCTGACATGTACGTTAGTCTAGTTATGATTACCTGACATGTATGTTAGCCTAGTTATGATTACCTGACATGTATGTTAGTCTAGTCATGATTACCTGACATGTATGTTAGTCTAGTTATGACTGCATCACATGTATGTTAATCTAGATATGATTACCTGACATGTATGTTAGTCTAGTTATGATTACCTGACATGTATGTGGTCTAGTAATGATTACCTGACATGTATGTTGTCCTTGCTGTCTTAGCCACGTGACACGTTTATTCAGTCAATACAACAAAAGGCAATCTGAATCAGGAATGTAAACATTTACAATGATACGCTATATGCTGTGTGATAATCGTTAGATCTGTATTGTACGGGACTGCAATCTCTGAGGAATCCACATGCTGAATCCGATACTGAGACGACTGGACTGTCAGTCACAGATGTAATTAGAATGACATGAGGTCATTGCCAATAATCACGTATAAAACAATAGGACGTCTTTATCAGCATACTACAGACAATATTCAGATACTATCAACTTGTTCCTCCTGTACAGAGTGTACTTCTTCAGGCTATTAAATCAAAACGTCAATAATTAGGTGTTCAAGTGGTATTAACTATGTACTGTGAATGAACACTACAGGAATATATCAAAACACTTAAAGATTTAGCAGCTACCATAGTCTCTGTAAAAATCACCCTGAGCTCTTTAACAAATTGGATTAAGGGACGCCCAATGGAGGAAAAATTCTTTAATTTACACATCATTTCTGCATGAAATAAGGTTATTATACAACTGAGGCATAGAAGTAGAATAATCCTTGCATCCAAGACACGCCCTTTTGTTAATTAGTATCGGTTGTAATCAAAGGGATATACTATGAATAAAAATTTAAATATATACATGATGGGTACGGGAAAGGGATTTTGGCTTCGGTAGAACGCTTATTATAAAAAGAAAACAGTTGCTTTCTTCATTTTTTGCAGTTTATAACTTCCAGCATTTCAAGACATTCTGACCTTTAATTCTGACGTGAAATATATGACGCAAGATAAAAACTACATGTAATGCCAATATAAAAAATGAAGAACCTAAGGACAAATCATCATTCCTTAAAAATAGTGAAACATATCGACATTGTGTCAGTTTTAAGTTCGGTATTGATGTGACCGTAAGGAGCAGGGCCAATACATATCTATCCACAGGAATCAAGAAAAAGTATCTATACACATATATCAATACTAGTCTTCCTTCTGTTCTCAAGGCCAGAACCTACTGTAGTTACATGCTGGTGGTACACAGTCTATTCATCTCTACAAAGCACCTTGCACGTGTCTGTAGACCTGTGCTGGTCGCTGTAAGCTTACTAGAGACCGACAGGCTATACTGAATGTCATGGGCGGATACAGGACAGGCAAATCCCAACACCCCGCACCAAAACACCATTAAACTCGTGAATCACACTCTTCCATTGTTTGCATGTAACAAGTTGGTACACTTATATATAGAGAACAAAGAACTAAGTGCAACCAAGTCTCTCGCCCAGAATGAATGTTTAATGACACGAGCGGTGGCACACAGTGAGTACATGTGGTACTCGGCATCCTCTCCAGGCCGTCCTCCCATAGTTGATACATTGTGCCATCGAACACTATAGATTGGATTTTTTTTTAAAGTTACAGATTTCTCTTTCAGTACAAGTATAGTATATCAATGATAGCTATGTACATGGGACCAGGCGAAAAACATAAACATAACACTTCTCCTGAAATATTGCCTACACTTAATACAAACCTGGTAACAGATATATAGATTTATCAGAGCAGACGGGCTCTATCGTGTTTCTGTGGTCTCCGATACTTACAATCTCTGAGCTAAACAAAACGTTACACTAAAACATACTTTAAAATACACTTTAAATCAATACTTAATCTATTTCTTTCTCCTGTAGAAAAATTTAGGTGTTCCCCTGGGTCTAGCGGGTTAATGCACCTGATCTTGCCCAAGGAACTAGATACTCCATGTATACTGACATTATAGAAAATACCTTGATACTTCACATTCTGACTGTAAGCAACATATATATCAACAAGGTATGGTTTTCTTAGGAAAAAGATTCAAGACCAAGACCAGTACCACCAATAGCATAGATAAACGCTACAAGGTAGGGTTAGGATTAGACCAAGAATATATAAATATGGACGAGGAAAGCCAGTACAAAGAATTATTACAAATTTCACCAGGGAAATATAAGACTTATGGTGAAAAGTAGTTATTATATGGCGAATAAACCCACAAATCATGAAATATAACGGTTAGTCATTGAGAAACTAAGATTACTCTGTATACATGGGAGAGAATAACATTGGGAGGGGATAAATAAACTCTGCTATATTGTGTTGTAAGGTGGTAGTAAACTAGATATGTATTGTTGTGTCATGTAACCTCTTCCTGTCAGTCTGATAGTAGATATTAAACCATTGTCTACTGTCTTCACAACAAACTCACGTGCAAACGTTTGTCGGATACCTGTTGGTGTTTTGTTGCATTCCCTTATATGTATATCAATGTTCCTGGAGGTATTTGGTCAATGTGATTTAATACATTGTCTTCAGTATCATTCAATATTAGAGAAAGGGACAAATTTTCAGGTAGCATTAATTTCTCACTGAACAAACTACAACATTGATATGATAAACACCACGGTAGATACTGTAGGTATTGTAATTACAAGATTCTGATTACATGTGTTCTGTCAATACTGTCCTTAAATGCCCATCCTATCACAAAACTCAACAAAGCGTTCAGTTTATTTTAATCCAATGCACCAAACACCATAGCAGATAATTCTATATTCATATACTTTAAAATCTGTTCGGTCAATATTTGTGAATCAATATTACAGAATATGAAAACCATTTGAGATTTAAGTGCAGTATTTAGTAGTATCTTTCCACCTGTGTTTGTTGTACTCCGTTGTTTGCTTACCGATCAGCCTCCCATTATATGATAACGGATATTCCTGGTATTTTATAATGATTAATGCACAGCCTGTTAAATAAAATCCTTTCACAAATCCAAACAATGTGGAGACAAACCGTGTTGTCGTGTGGTTCCTGTGTACCGCTGTATCAAAGCTATCACATTTATGTGGCCCGAAAATCATTACGGTTATAGACAGGACAGTGCCAAACTATTGATTACTTATAGTATATTCACACTCAGGTTTATCAATAAATGTCGAGAGATCGTTATATATAGTGTCATCCTGTGTGTACTCACGGCCTTGTACATGGACTAACACTGAGACTGACTTCACAAACATCGACCCGACTGTCTACCAATCCCTCCCCTTCCTGCCTATTTCAATCATAATCAGTTTATAGCTTGATCATGTTTTTTGTCCAAATGAAAATATTGATCTTTACAAAGGATACTGAACATGTAATGCTATTGTATGACAATAATGTGTTTCTTTCTGATTGCAGCTTTATATTCTGGAGTAGGAGCCAGGATGCTTATGAAGCGACCAATGGTAAAATATACAGACATTTATTCCCGTATTGTTCTATGACTTATATCTTATTTACTATGGAGAAGTATGGAGAGAGACGTACTCTATGACAGTGGGATAGGAGACCCTCCTTACAGTGTGTGTTACTATCGCTCATCCCTGAGTGCTTCAGTCTGATTAATGAACACCCAAGTCTGGCCATATTTCATCTAAGTATTTCTGTTCAACCGCATACAGATGATTTATCTCTGTGTTGGATGCTTTTAGAAGTATGACAAAACTACTTTCTCTGGTTCTTTATATAACAAAGAAGACTCGCTTATTAATTTGTCTGTGGCCAATACAACTGGTATCTGTGACCCGAGTTACTTGAAAAGTTGTAAAATATTTCGGTTTTTTTGCTAAGTCGGATACATTAGCGGATTGGTCTGTCCAGTATGCTTCTATGTATAGCATGGTATTTTTGAAGGATAAGATACAGGTTTTTGTGTTTATCTTAACAGATGTATTGGTGAAGATGTATTAATTGTAATTATATTTGATTTCGTTTGCAGGTGTTGAGCCGACTGGTTGTAACATGGACAGTGCGGGACAGAACGAGTATGTCAGTGATGATCTCAAACTCGTCGAGTCTGAATACGAGGAAATCTGTGATGTTAACCAGGAATGGAAAAAAGAAAAACTACCTATATTTGACAAAGTTTGCGATCCTGTTGAAAACAGTTCCAAGCTAGCTGGGGAGAATTCCCTCCCACATACAAATGGCGTTCTTCCTGTCAAAGTCAATTCTGTTAGTGATCAGACAGAATCCAAACCTGTATGTTGTACGGAGTCTGTCCAACCAATGGACGGCAACCTTATTATGGCCGACCGGCTACTGTCACAATCAAGTAATTGCGCAGACACACAGGAAATGAATCTTCTTCATCTTACTGATTTTAGTGATATAAAGACTCAGATTGATTCTGAGTCTACTGACATCTCGTCATCAAAAACAAATGTCAAAGACTCCACTATTGATAGCAACCTTTTTGTTGTGGATGAGGCAACGACAGTAGCAAGTGAGTCTGTGGTACAGCCCAGTTGCCCCCCACAACCTGAGGAGGTAGGTCAAGGTGAACACTGCGGTCAAGGTCAAACCCAGTATATAAACGTTGAAGGAGTCAACAATGACAGTATAACAGAAAATAATACAAACTTGAGTAAGGGTGAAAGGTCACATTCCTACGAACATCTTGATCCTACGACACGAGAGGACCCCTCGTCCAGCCAAACCTACGAGGCCTTAATACCGGTCATCTCTCCTGACAATCGGCTAGATCTGTCCACTAGCCCGTCTACTACGGAAAGTTAATGTGATCATAAACAAAATATACACTATTTACACAATGTATACGTTCTACATGTCCAAACCGTGTCTACACTTCTACATACCTTATACTGAACTAGTATCAATTTAATGAGATTTGAGTTATATTTATAAACAGTCCATTTTACCGTAAGTTATAAACCACAGTAGGACCTATGGAGTCTGTTTTACTAACAGCACACATGTCGTGAGGTCAATCGCTCCAGTGTGATATGTTGTCTACATTGATGGCTGTCTACAATAGACAATTTTAATGAACAATTGGCATATGAGGACACGATATCAGACAATGAAATAAACCAACCTTCAGGAACGGTAATTACAGTACAGAATATTGTACGGGGTGAAACATCAACACGCTATGGTCATCACATTCTAAGTAATGTAAAAGTACACTTACTATACGTAGCTGTCACTATGATAACAATCTAAAAATAGTTGTATTTTAATTGTGACATTAGTCATTGTAACCATGGTAAAATCTTACTAAAAACATTGTTACTATGGTCAGTGTTACTTTGGTAACCATTGTAGTTATAGCCATTGTTACTTTGGTGTTCGATGCAACTATAGGCAGTTACCATTATAACATTTGTTTTACTACTGTAGTTGCTATGGCATTCTTTGTAACCATGGTAACATTAATATAATGTTTTGAACATTATAGAGTTATCTCTTTTGTTTATTTACCTTGAGAAGTGTATTCTCAGGGGGAACTACTCTGATGGAGGGTTCTATTTTATTTATACATGTTTGTTTAACAAATGTGCTGACTTTCCACAAACATGTGATGCTATACGATGGTGCCTGTAACACGTCGACATAGTCCACGTTGTACACGTCGACATAGTCCTCGTTGTACAGGTCGACATAGTCCACGTTGTACAGGTCGACATAGTCCTCGTTGTCATTGATGGCTACATAGGTATCGTGATTATATATACTAGGATGTAGTTTTCTTTTAATTAGAGCATTATCATACTGTTTGCCTATTGTTTCTCTATATTTAGAATTCTTAAAATAATACATTTAGAATCTCATTGAATTGTTTTTTTCTATCAATTATTTTATTGCTTGTTTATATTTAAAAGAATTCCAAAAGTTTGCTGCATTCACTTATTTATTTTTAAATTTTATTTATATTTGTATTTCTCATAAATGCAATTAACTTTTGTTTCACAGAATACTACACATATTTTTGCCAAAAGTTTGTTTTTCTTGTAGATTGTTGTAACATATATCCGACCATTATAGAAGTCTTTAACATTATCTGTCATTGGTTTATGACAACTAATTATATATCGATGTTTGTACATATGTGACTGTGTGAACCAGGATCACAAGGGTTGTATGATATAAATGACGGGAGATTGGGGTGTATGCACGGTTACCATGGATACATGTACTGTATGACCTTGTAGCTTTGCATTTCTCTTTTATATCTGTAACAGATTCTTACCTTTTCTATACATTGCTCAATGGTTACCAGTGGATACAGCGTGATTGGTGCGTGACGTCAGAGAGTGATAGATTTATCTTCATCATTATCTTCAGAAACTCACACGCTTCACTCGCATTATGTCGGCATATATGGACCAATTATTATCGATTTCTTAAACATAAAAAAAAATCTAATTTACTAAAACTCTATTAAAACATGTCTGTGTTTTACCATTATTTTACACATCTTAATAACTTTTTATATGTGTGATGAAATTTTCGTTCGGGTACTGTAATTATAATGTTGGACTATGATGTGTACTGGAATGTAACTAAAACTGTTTTATGAATTCCGTGTTATGTTACACTATTTATGTCCTCTCACTCTCTAAAGACAACTTTTGGAAAGTAATATTAATCTTATCAAAGAAATACTAATTAATATCATTATTGATGAACTATCCTGAATGAATCGTAGTAACAGATCCTAGGTGGAAAAAAGAAACTGAAGATCTGTTTCACTTTTCTGCTCCATGTACATGTTTTTAAGAATGTAGACCAATAGAGAAAATAACTCCCTAACACATGTCCTCAGAACCTAATTAAATTTATTGAAAATCAATATCTATGGATGACATGTGATCGCAATATCAATATGTGTAATTAAAGGATCGGCCCTTACACTGTAAGTGTGACCGGGTTCTGTTATCTAGCTATACTGTGACATTCATTTCAATCTTGTCATGTTTGAAGATGAGCACTTGGAAATAAAATGTTCAAATTTTACATCAAGAAAGTAAGTGTTTTTATTGCTTTGTTTGTAGCCAGGTATAATTAACAATTGCCATGACTTCATTCAAATACATAAACTAAAGTTCAACTCACTCTATTAGCAACATAAAATGGAAAAAACAACAATCCGACAGTATCATCAATAGCATACATATATATATACTACAGTACATCAATAACATAGATATACACTACAGTACACCAATAACAAAGATATATACTACAGTACACCAATAACATAGATATATACTACAGTACACCAATAACATAGATATACACTACAGTACCACCAATAACACAGATATACACTACAGTACACTAATAACATATATATATACTACAGTACCACCAATAACATAGATATACACTACAGTACACCAATAACACAGATATACACTACAGTACA